TGTGTCATAGGCCTTTTCAATGTCAAAGAACAGAGTTTTAACATCTTATAGGTAACTTGATCAGGACCAGGAGTTGATTACAGTAAATGTTGGTCGGTTAAGTGGCATGAATTATTAATCAGTTTATACAAAATACTATTTTATATTCATACAGCTACGTCCAAAACTAACACAACAGGTGACATGGCATGAAGATCCAATTAAGGTACCTCGACTTAGCGAACATTTAATTCACAGAGATAACTGACACAGGCCATCTAAACAGGTCCCAATGAATTATCACGATGATCCGGTACTCTGTCGCATCTTCAAAAAACCTTTAAATGTTTCTGACGACTACATAATATCTATACAAAATTTTCATGCCCATACACTTATATACTTATATAAATACACCTATCCCGCGATTTACACGGTAGATACGTTCTTAAGAAAAACGTGTAAATCGAAAATTAAAAATTTTCAAGTCAAAACCGTGTAAATCGAAAAGCTTGTAAAAAATGCATAATTTTGCTATTTAACAGTTGTGATTTTTTACAAAATTTTTAGGTGTACACAGAAATAAAAATAAAATGCATTGACAGGTTAAAAATAATTCAAATATAGTCAAAAAGAAATTGGATTCTGATGGAAGTTTGGCATCAAGCAGCAGGCATTTGCTGGCTGCAGAGGATAACGGTCGGGAACCAATCAAATCTGATAACTTCCTCTTCTACTTTGATGACCTGATAGTGAACAAATCAAAGAATTTGACAATCCCGTACGCAAATATTCAAGTTAAGGACAATCATTGTGGGCAGTTTACAATGTCACATCATCTATCAGGTATGTGTTGAGTTTTTTGAGTTTTATTATTTGTTTTTACGATCCTAATTTTTAGTATTCAAGTATTTGTATACCGGTCCTGGGCATGACATAAAACTGCATCCAGGCTGCCTTGCGTGCTTTTGAGCAAAAGGCTAGGCCTACCGCTTATAACTGGTGATTGTCGTCAGGATGGGTGTCCGGATGTAAAAACTTTTCCCAAAATTATTCCTACGCCATCACAAAGAAAAACAACGGCCTCTAGTCCCCAGCTGGCCTTAAGTGGTCAAGGGGTGCCAAGAATCCCTGGGAAGTATGCAATAGCGGAGGAATGTTGCAGAAAAATTCAGAACGGCCCCTCTATGGTACTTAGACTTGGAATGCTCAATGTTGGATCACTGATTGGCCGCAGCATGGAAATCGCAAAAATGCTCAAGCGTAGAAGGATTGACATCTGCTGCCTTCATGTCAACTCAGACAGAAAATATAAACTATTCTGGAATGGTCAAAAGACGGCCAAAAACGGTGTTGGAATTTTTGTCAGGAAACCGCTAGCCCAAGAAGTACTGGATATTAAAAGGATTAATTCACGTCTCATGTGGATCAAGTTTCGCCTAAAAAAGCAAACAATGATTATTTTTTCTGCATACGCACCACAAACAGGCGAATCAGAAGAGATGAAAAATGACTTATGTGCTGCTCTCTGACACCATCTCAACAATACCAAAATCTGAAACAATCCTGATTGGAGGCGATCTCAATGGCCACGTTGGAGAGAAAACAGATGGTTTTGACAACGTACATGGCGGTTTTGGCTATGGAGAACGGAATGAAGGTGGCAACCGCATCTTTGAGTTTGCAGAAAGTCACGGGTTTTGTTTATTAAACACATAATTTAGAAAGTGGTTGGAACATCTCATAACATACAACAACACAGGTCAAGAGGTACTGGATATTAAAAGGATTAATTCACGTCTCATGTGGATCAAGCTTCGCATAGAAAAGCAAACAATGATTATTTTTTCTGCATATGCACCACAGACAGGCGAATCAGAAGAAATGAAAAATGACTTCTGGGCTGCGTTCTCCGACATCATCTCAACAATACCAAAATCTGAAACAATCCTGATTAGAGGCGATCTCAATGGCCACGTTGGAGAGAAAACAGATGGTTTTGACAACGTACATGGCGGTTTTGCCTATGGAAAACGGAATGAAGATGGCAATCGCATCCTTGAGTTTACTGACAGTCACGGGTTTTGTTTATTGAACACATATTTTAGAAAGAGGTTGGAACATCTCATAACATACAAAAGTGGACCATCAGCCACGCAAATTGATTTCTTCGCTGTCAAGCAACAACACCGAAAGCTATTCGAAAACGTCATGAACGGGACACTAAGGGGGTGAAATGACAGTGTACAAAATGCAATAGTTGAAAAGAAAGTTGCATACAAGCAATGGCAAAAATCAAAGTCTGTTGATGACCATAAAGTTTTCCCAGAGAAGAACAACTATGCAAAACGTCAAGTTGCACTGGCTCGGACAGATAAGTGCAAAGAGTGGCTCACTAAAAGCAAAGGTGAACAAATGAAATCTCTGTATCGTATAGCAAAACAAGCAAAGCGTACGTAACAAGACATAGTTGGTGCCTCATGTATCAAAAACGACAAAAATGAGATGGTTCTTGAACATGATGAGATCAAGCTACAGTGGAGAGAATACTTCAACGGTCTGTTAAACGAAACAAATCCCATCAATGTTAGCTTTGACGCTCCACCCATCGAAGGTCCGATTTCGGACATCACTGTAGAGGAGCTTACAGAAGCTCTGAAAGCTATGAAGGATGGAAAGGCAGCAGAGCCCTCGGGACTCACAAATGACATTATCAAAGCATCTGGTACTGCAGGTATCCAAACGTTACTACAATTTTGCCGTGAAATCTGGAGAAATTGCTCAATGCCGACTGAATGGAACTATAGCATGAAAGTTCCGTTATACAAAGGCAAAGGTGATCCATTGAACTGTTCATCATATCGGGGTATACGTCTATTAGAAAACTCCCTGAAAATTGTCGAGAAAATCATTGAGAGAAGATTAACGTCGTGAATCACAATCGGAAATTATAAATTAGGTTTCCTAGCGGGGAATTCAACAATTGATGCAATTCACATTCTTCGGCAACTGCAAGAGAAGTACCTGGCAAAGCATCAACAACTATCACACATTTTTGTAGACCTTGAAAAAGCATTTGATCGAGTTTCCCGTGAAGCAATCAGGTGGAGTCTACGTCGACAACTAATTCCTGGATATCTTGTTCGACTTGTGATAGAAATGTATACGAATACTAAGACTCTCGTCAGCACTATGGTTGGAAACACAGATGCATTTGACATCGGCGATGGAATTTACCAAGGCTCGATTCTCAGTCCACTGTTATTTATAACTGTGATGGAAGAAATCACAAAACCGATACGCAGTGTTGACATTTGGAATCTAATATATGCTGATGATATCGTTTTAACAGCCACGTCTGAGCAGATTGCAGCACAGATGTTTGAAGATTGGAACACCAGACTCGCCAATCATGGATTCAAAGTCAACATCAGCAAAACCAAAGCAATGAACACTGGTGAACCCATCCAATCCACAGGTACTGGACGATGGCCCTGTTCAGTTTGTAAAGCTGGTGTAGGTAACAATTCAATCAAGTTTCAGCAGTGTAACCAGTGGTGTCACAAACGTTGTTAAAAAAAAATTAGTACTTTATCTAAAGTGTCCAATTTTGTTTGTCCTGCTTGCATCAATCCACAACAACAAATTCGAAATAGCAATGTTTTTGAAGCTATTAAGGTAGAGAAAGTCACATCGTTTCAATATCTAGGGGATGTTCTGGATTGTACTGGAACAGCTGAAGCTGCCGTTCGAGCACGCATACGTGCAGCCTGGAATAAATGGCATCTCCTTGCCTCTATATTGATGCGGCGTGACATCCCACTACCACTACTATCAAGACTTTATAAATCTGTGATAAGTCCGGTGTTGTTATATGGTGCAGAAACATGGCCAATGAGAACCAAACTGGAACAACAACTTCAACGAACCGACATGAAAATGCTCCGATGGATGCAACGAATTAGTCTGAAGGACCACATCAAATCCACCGAAATCCTGCGTCGTGCTGGTTTAGATGATATAAAGGAAGAATACCGGCAACACCGTCTGCGGTGCTCTGGTCATGTCAAACGAAGTAGAAACAGTGCCATAACTTTTCTTGCAGATGTTGAAGTATCTGGCACACGTCCCAAAGGCCGTCCAAAGAAGTCCTGGTCGCAAACAATCGAACAAGACATGAAAGCTATAAATTTAAATAAAATGGACACAACTGATCGTCTCATTTGGCGCAAAAAGTTGATGGCAAAGAAAACAACGTCCTACCTCGTGGAACCAGGACTCTGGTTGCAAAACGAGGATTGATTGAATGTTGATCCAAATTCTGGACGGATTGTATTATGTAAAGCTACTGACGTATTGTGTGGATAAACTTTTAACAATTTCCTCTTACATCATCTTCATAGGTATAAACACATTAACAATGACAGTCTGCCTGATCAAATTATAATTTTGTTGAGGGTGGTAGTTAGGTTCAATACCGGCTCTTAGTTGGAAGATAAGGAGCAGGATGACCGGAGTGGCCCGCTCCATTGACGAAAACCTAATGCAGTTACCTGGCAGGGAGGGTTTGTTGCAACAGTTTTTTGGGATGAACTTACTGGTAGTAGTAATAAGTGAAGTTTAATTTTATGACATTACAAATCAGTTTTTGTATTGAAATTATTTATCTTAACACATTTATGTACATTCTAATAATTCAGATTGGAACATCTCAGAAACCAACTAAGGTCTGTTAGTGAGGAAAATGAGAAGCTGAAACAAAACAAGTATGTAATAGTGTGGATGTATAAATATTATATTGGATATATAAATCAATGCTATAATATTGTATTTGATTTATAGACATTATTGTATTGCATTGGTAACGATTGATTTTTAAAATAATACTATATTAAATTGGATGTTTAAATATATAATTGTATTGCAAAAAAAATTGTAACGATAGGGACGGTTTTTTTATTTCAATTAATTAGTATTTGTTAAGAAGGGTTGCTAAATAAGTTTTCATAAAAATATTAACTTCTTTCTTATATACAAAACCAGTTACAATTTTTTTATGATTGATATGTTTAGTGGCACTTGAATTAAAATATTGAATAAGACTGCAGGCTGTTTAATTCAGTTTATTTACAGTCTATTTAATGTTTAACGGATATTTGTAAATTTATGTGAGCGCGAGTATTATTCAAATAAAATTTACTTTTTGTGATATTTTATGGAAGACATTCTCTGCTTAATCATCCTTAAAAATTGACACCATTCGAGATCTGATAGAAATCGAATGGTGTCTGTCATATCAACTCAGATAAAGAAAAATATAAACTATTCTGGAATGGTAAAAAGACGGCCAAAAATGGTGTTGGAATTTTTGTCAGGAAACCGCTAGCCCAAGAAGTACTGGATATTAAAAGGATTAATTCACGTCTCATGTGGATCAAGCTTCGCCTAGAAAAGCAAACAATGATTACTTTTTCTGCATACGCACCACAGTCAGGCGAATCAGAAGAAATGAAAAATGACTTCTGGGCTGCGTTCTCTGACATCATTTCAACAAAACCAAAATCTGAAACAATCCTGATTGGAGGCGATCTCAATGGCCACGTTGTAGAGAAAACAGATGGTTTTGACAACGTACATGGCGGTTTTGGCTATGAAGAACGGAATGAAGATGGTAAACACATCCTTAAGTTTGCTGAAAGTCACGGGTTTTGTTTACTGAACACAAATTTTAGAAAGAGGTTAGAACATCTCATAACATACAAAAGTGGACCATCAGCCACGCAAATTGGTTTCTTTGCTGTCAAGCAACAACACCGAAGGCTATTCAAAAATGTCAAAGTTATACCTGGCGAATCATGTGTCGCCCAACATAGACTCCTTGTGGCAGACCTGGTTGTTGAACTGTCACAACATAAGTCTTAACAAATGCCTCGGAGAATCAAAACGTGGAAGCTGGAAAGCAATATTCATCGAGAAAAATTTCAACAGATTTTCGCCACACAGTTAAACCACCAATCGCAAGCAGGTACAGATTGGAGTACATACAAAACCGTTTTGATAAACGGTGCAACCACTGTTTGTGGGAAAACTGGTACAAAACGTAAGCATGAACACATATGTTTACTGAACACTTGGTGGTGGAATGACAGTGTACAAAATGCAATAGCTGAAAAGAAAGCTGTGGCAAAAATCAAAGTCTGTTTATGACCATAAAATTTTCCGTGAGAAGAACAACTATGCAAGACGTCAAGTCGCACTGGCTCGGACAGATCAGTGCAGAGAGTTGCTCACTAAAAGCAAAGGTAAACAAATGAAATCTCTGTATCGTATAGCAAAACAAGCAAAGAATACGAAAAATGATATAGTTAGTGCCTCATGTATCAAAAACGACAAAAATGAGATGGTTCTTGAACAACCCACTTCCATTACGATCAAGACTTTATAAATCTGTGATACGTCCGGTGTTGTTATATTGGGCAGAAACATGGCCAATGACAACCAAACTGGAACAACAACTTCCACGAACCGACATGAAAATGCTCCGATGGACGCAACGAATTAGTCTAAAGAACCACATCAAATCTACCGAAATCCTGCGTCGTGCTGGTTTAGATGATATAAAGGACGAATGCCGTCTGCGGTGGTTTGGGCATGTCAAACGAAGTGGAAACAGTGCCATAACTTCTCTTGCAGATGTTGAAATACCTGGCACACGTCCCAAAAGCCGTCCAAAGAAGTCGTGGTCGCAAAAAATCGAGCAAGACATGAAAGTTCTAAATTTAAATGAAATGGATACAACTGATCGTCTAATTTGGCGCAAAAAGTTGATGGCAAAGAAAACAACGTCCTACCTCGGATAACTGGGTCTCTGGACGCTAAACAAAGATTGATTGATTGATTGACAGGTTAAAATATCTAATATGTTACGGAAACACTGGTTTTTTTTTATTTAATTACAATACATTAAACAGAAGAACAAAAAATAAAACCAAAGGTGTTTTATTATCATTCACCACTGTCATAAATTACTCTCATTCTTTTTTTCAGAATTGAAGATCGAATTCACTTTCATCACTCGAAGTTATTTGATGTTTGATGTTTGAACCAGAAATATTTACATTATGAGAGATGGTAATAAAATCGGTTATTAACAATTGCTTCGAATTTTTTGTAAGATCTTTGTTAACTTCTTCATATTGAGCCAAGCAAGCACGTGTTCAATCACAGTAGCATTTAGTAGAGTGCGATAAAAACAAAAAAAACTTATTTGGAAAACCGTGTAAAAGCGAAAACGTGTAAAGCAAGTGCCGTGTAAATTATATATGCCGTGTAATAGGTGTATATTATATTTAAATAAGTTCAGAAAATGATCTAGATAATATATATATATATATACATATATATGTATATATATATATATATATATATATTTACAATATTCTATAAATTCTACCGAATGTTTGGTGTTAATATGTTTGTAGTTCAAAAATATTAACGCCAAACATTCGGTAGAATTTATAGAATATTGTACTAACATATTAACGCCAAACATTCGGTAGAATTTATAGAATATTGTACAACATATTAACGCCAAACATTCGTTAGAATTTATCGAATATTGTTACGAAATACAAACATATTAACGCCAAACTTTCGGAAGAATTTATAGAATATTGTAAAAATTATGGTCTATTACCAACACATATATATATATATATATATATATATATATATATATATGTGTGTGTGTGTGTGTGTGTGTGTGTGTTGTGTATGTGTGTGTGTGTGTGTGTGTGTGTGTGGTGTATTATTAATACATATAATATATATGAAATGTATGCGTAAGGATTTCCCAAAAACTCAGTCATGGAGCCTCCTGTTTTTGTTGTATACGGCCGGTATGTTTCACATTATTGAAGGTCATAATTTTAAATATCATGCTTTCGTTGGCGATGTCAAAATAGCTCCTGTGGGCTGTAATACAACTTTTGAAACATTAGTTGACAAACTTGTCTGCTGAAATGTTCAGTTGTCAGCTTTCGTTCTTCTGTTAATAATTTGGGCGTATCAAAAAGTTGAACATTACAAAGAATCTTCTTTTGAGCTTTGAAGGTTCAGACAAGCTTTGATAATGATACATTAAAATGTTTAGTTCACACGCTTATTCAATCAAAGTGGATTAATTAAACAGTGTTTTGACGGAGTTTCCAACAGAGTAATGACTCGTTTACGGTCAATTCAGAATCGTGCGGCTAACATCGTTTCAGGTGGATCAAAGTTTGATCGTGTTAATTACGTTCTGTTAGACCGTAGCCGTAGCCGGTCCAACAGTCTGTAACAATATAACACATAGCCTGCGTCAACGAGGATTGTCACTTAGTATCAAAAGCAGCTTAAAACTCATCTTTTTCGGAATAATCCACACGACTTAAGAAGCTCTTTGATAGCCGTATAAATTCTTATTCTTCGTAGAATATGGGAAATTATTATCACATTAATTCGTACGATGGTTGATGCATAGCCTCAATGAACAATCGCACATAGGCATTATGCAAATCAGATATGAAATCAGAATAATCAAATTATATATACTTGGGCATTTAAATCAGACTGAAACTTCTCAGATAACACTTTCACCATTTCGTTATGTTCCAATTTCATCTTATTCACTTCGAGTCCCAATAATTTCTGAATTGAAACAATGAAATAAAATTTTTTATAATAGCTAAACTTACAGGCAGTCAACAATATTGTGTAAAAATGTAAGTATCTATTGATACTTTGCACAAAATGTGACAAGGCAGACACTAATAACTACAAATGTATCTATCTTTTTAGATGTAGTCGCCTGCAAATTTAAGAGAAGGGATAAAAGAATTTAAGAGCAAAATATCAAATTTTTCAAGGTCCAAGTCACATGCCAGAAAAAGAAATTGTTTTTCATAATCATTATTCAACGTGGTTATCAACCAAATTATAAAAGAATGAACAAAATTTTAAAACTACCTTTTGCTCCAGCACTAAGTTGTTTTCCTCTTTGATTTTTTTCATTTCTCTTAGCTCATCGGTCAATTTCTCAATTATATTATTCTGTTCTGCAAGCTTCAACTAAAAATTTGAAACATCATACACCAACCAATGTATCATGTATCAACAAAAGATCAATTAGTATATATTACAGTACATATTCAATGAAACAAATTACTAAAACAAAACATGAGATGAATTGAAAAATAACCTGATTCTGTTGAATGTGGCTTTGCATAACCTGCAATTCATGAAGGTGCTTCACATTTATATCATTAACATCTCGTTCGTACTGTAAACGGGACGGTAAATGCAATATAAATATCATCATAACAAACGAACACAATGTATGCACATGCACAAAGTTTAAAAAAAATGTTCACTAATTTTCAGTAAATAACTTATATTCCATGATAATCACCAGCAGCATACATCTACCACAGAACATATATAGCAAAAACTAAATTATATTTTTTTATAGTTTCTTCTGCTAACGAATATATTTTCATTACTTTTTTAAAAACGAAAGACATAATTCTAGTCATTGAGTGAGTGAGGATTATGAGGTCTGGTGACTGATTAAAGATAAGAACAAGAACTGTATGTCTGGTCATTCATAATTAAATAATAATTTACTTGAAAGCATTCAGATATTCATAGAATTTCATACTAAATAATGATACAACATTTTGAGCTGCACGACGGCCCATTGCAGTGATCAAATTCGATTAAAATGAGATCTCTCCTCTCACGTGCAATGTGTGTGATGCGTTGTTCACGTTTATTTATATACACAATGTGTTTATTGTTTATGTGTCAGAAAAGTATTGAAGAGAAAATAGTAACAATACAAACAAACAAATAAATAAATAAAAATACTTAACCTGACAAACATCCGTCTGCATTGATATCATCTTGTTGTTGGCTTCTTCGCATTTCTTTTTCCATTGATCTAAGTTTTTGAAAGCTTCATTCTTCTCATGCCTCATGTTTTCAACTTCTGCTTTCAAATCGTTCACCTAGTCAATTCCAAATATACTACTTTAAAAATGTCATTTATCATGATTCAAATACATCAACGTCCAACCTTTGGCTGCCCCTGAAGCCACGCATTGATGAACTCAACAAAGCTCAAGACAAAAGACTCAATATTCAGAAATTTGTAGTAAGAAAAATTCATAGGACAAACTTTAAATCGATTGATGCCAACAATTCGGTTGCATTCATGCAATATTGTATAAAATATGGTCTCCTCCAACACACACACACACACACACACACACACACACACACACACACACAAACATACACACACCACACGCACGCACACACACAAACACACATATTTCCGGTTACGCAATGGCCGAACGTACACTGAAAATCTGCGAGATTAATTATAATACCAATAATAATACCATTAATAACTTTTCGTTCGGAAAGTTTTCTTCACAATTTAAATTTTTCAATAAATTTATCAATTTCGAGTTTAAAAAATTTAATTTTAAGTTATTAACAGTATTGGAAAATTTATTTAATTAATAATTTTCAAATCCTGTTGTATTTCGCCGACTAAAGAAAGTGAAAATGGAAAACACTAATCCTAACATAACCGCACGGACAAAGAAGGTGACCAATAAGATGAGTGATATTGCGGGATTGCATCTGTGTGAAGGTTGTAGGAAAGTAAATGAAGAAAAAATAAAAACACTGACTAATTATGAGGAGGAAGGATTGCTTGTTGCTATCAAACAGTTAGAAGAAAAAATGGCAAATGAAGTCAGATGTCTAACTCAGATGATGGAAAAAGTCACATTTAGAGAAGAGATGCTAAAAGAACAGATGAGGGAACAAACTAACTTGAAGAATAGTCTCAATGAGGTAAAAAATCAGGTAGCCAAGGAAGAGGAAATGACAAAAAAGTGGAATGAAGTAGTTAAAGGTAATATTGAGAGTTTGACAACAAATGTCAAGGAAATACATTCATCGGTGCTGGACACAAAAAATCATCTGGATGTTGCTAATGAAAGAGATATCCGTCGAAACAATTTAGTCATTTTCAACATACCAGAAAATGAAAGTTTTTCTTGGAAAGCAGATAAAGAGAAAGTGCTTCAGTTGTTGAAGGAGATAACTGATGAAAACTTGGAGAAGGAGGTTTCAAATGTATTCAGACTTGGTAAAAGGGTGAATGATCAAAAGCCAAGGCCTATTTTAATTAAATTATTGAATTTAACTACTAAAAACCTGATACTAGAAAACTGTTTCAAACTGAGAAGGAGTAAATCATTCAATGGAGTCTACATTAACCATGACCTTATTAAATTAGATAGAGATATTTGAAAACAGCTTCTCGATGATAAAAAGAAGAAAATTGCAGAAAAGGACGACATTAATAACTGGATATTTAAGATAAAAGGACAACCAGGTGAGTTTCATGTATTTGTCTTGTTTTGGGTGATTTTAATTTTCCAGATATAGATTGGAAGCTGAGAGTTTGTGCAGGTTCTGACTACAAGATTGAAAATAGATTTTTGCAGCTTATTGATGATAGGTTTTGGCTGCAGCATGTCAACGAACCAACAAGATATGGAACTAACAGTTGTCCTCATGTTTTGGATTTAATTATTACGTCTGAAGATTGCGTATCAGATTTGCAGTATTCATCTCCTCTGGGCAGAAGTGACCACTTATTGATTTCATTTAAAATTTTTGATTGTTCAATTTTGCACAGTGTTGATTGTGATGAGGAGGTACACGTCATATACACTGATCTCGAGAAGGCTTTTGATAGGATATCTCACAATTGTTTGTTACTGAAACTAAAGAAATATGGATTCGATAACAAAATTCTTGTTTGGATAAGTGAATATCTTAAGAAGAGAAACTTCAGGGTGCGAGTGGGTGATGCATTGTCTTCAAAGTTTGATGCTACTAGTGGAGTTCCCCAAGGTAGTATCCTGGGACCTCTACTGTTTACAATTTATATTAATGATCTCCCTTCAGCATGTGAGAATATATATCTTTTTGCGGATGATGCAAAGATGTTTAAAATTATCAAATGTGCAGATGACTTGAAGTCCATGCAACTAAATGTGATCAATATGCAAAATTGGCTAAATGTCTGGCGTATGATTCCAAATGCAGATAAATGTTGCGTATTGAAGTTCGGAAATAAATATAATAATATTTATGAAATGTGGGATTCTGCCCAGGTCAAACAAGTGATCCAAGTAGTCAAAGTAATAAAAGACTTAGGTGTGTTTGTTGATGATAAACTCACTTTTAGAGATCATATATATAGTAAAGTTAAGTTAGCCAACACAATGTTGGGCATCATAAACAGGCATTTTAGACTTATTGATGAAAAAGCTTACCTATGTCTCTACAAAGGCTTGGTCATACCACATCTGGAGTATGCGGTACAGGTTTGGTGCCCACATCACATAAACCTAATACAAATGATTGAAAAAGTTCAAAGAAGAGCTACTAGATCTATCCGTTCTTGTTATGGTTTAGAGTATATTGATAGATTAAAAAAATTGAACTTGCATTCTTTGAAATATCGAAGAACTAGAGCGGACCTGATTTTTTTATATAAAATGTTGGTGGCCAATCCAGATACTGATCATTCGTTCATGTTGCTCAATAATGATGGGAGAACTAGAGGGCATCATAAGAAGTTGTCAACAGGTTTATCTCACAAGGATGTTAAAAAATATTTTTTTTGTAACAGAGTAGTCGCGGATTGGAATAGACTCCCACAATCTGTTGTTGACTCTCCAAATACAAGTGTTTTTAAATCTCGTTTGGATTTGTTTTGGGGTGATGCTAAATTTCAATATAGGTGATACTTTTAAACTGACGGTTCAATTGGATGTGTGTGTGTTGATAAGTAGGAATGGTTTGAGATTTTTAATCTATTAGTATGATTGAATAAGAATTTTTCATGGATGGATGGGAGTGGATTAATGAGAGAATTACTTATGCAACATTTATAATACTCATTATCATGAGGTTAATGTAATAATTATCATATGGTAAAAATATGAGCATAAATATAGGTAAAAATATGTACTTGTTTTATTTTTTATCAGTAATGACTGGGAATTTGTAAGATTGACTTGGATTGATTATTTCATTACCCATTTTATGGTTGAATGCATGTGCGTATTTCATTTATAAATTTTTTGGTTAATTATATTTTATATTGACTTCACAACTTTCTTATTATTATTATTGTTTTTCATATGATTGTTTGGTTTTTTTTTATTGATTGGTAAATAGTTAATGAAATTTCTAGGTTCTAATATAATTATCTGATATAATAATTAATGATTCATGAGTAGGTGGGTATATGAGTTGGTATATGGGTAGGGGAGGTTAAGGAAATTAGATGGATGCATGAATGTTTGTTTATTTTTTCTATTGCATGGGAAATGTGTAGTTAATTCTATGCTATTCAGGTGTAGGATGGGATTAATGGGGTTAGATGGATAAAGTATTTTATTATATCTAGGTTTATAAGTTTGCATTTATGGTGACACTCAAGACACTGTTAGTGTTAATTTATTGTTTTTGGAACTTATTTTCAATCTGCCATGGTATAATGCATTATCTTCGTGGTAATACTTGTGAAGCAATTGTACGAATGTATCGTGGTATGCATGTATAATACTATGTATTTTTTTTCCTGTAAATTCGGTAATGGGCAATAGCCCGTGCTTTGTTCAAATAAATAAATAAATAATTGTTATTTAATCAACAATGTGGACAAATTAGATAACGCAAAATTCCTAAAAAACGTAGAAAATTTCTACAATCTCGAAGACATCAAAAACGGCAAAAAACTATTAATTTCGGATCTCGAAACACAAGAAAATTCCGAAAACACATTGAAAACTCACCACGTGCTGCAAACAAGCACGATGCATTTCTCGAACTGGTTAATTTAGCAATTCGGTTTGATTCATCGAAATCAACAATGAAAACAACTTATGTAGCAGCAGATCTCAGAAAAATTCCCGACGCCAACGTCGAATGTTTTATCGACTCTGTCAACGGACAACTAGGCAAAATGGAGAGGTATATTATCGACTCCACCGCCAACAAATTAGATAAAATACGCTGAATGAGAGGAACGCTACAAAAAACTCCTCAAAACTTCACAGCTCATCAACACTAGTGCCAATTTGAGTTGTGACGAAGCTATGGCAAAATTACTTACTCTACATCACAACTGGGCAGAGGCAACGGAGCATAGCCATAACCTAGCTAACCCAACCTATGCCGATGTTACTCGATCGTCAATATCGTCAGCTACCAACAATTCAAAGCGATCACCGTCGTCAACAAAAACTATAGTACAACCAAGTACCAGAGGGCTCCTACAAAAAAAGAAAATGTACGGATCAGCCGCAGCACCCGATCTCAAGGCTTGTTTTGTTATACGATACAGAGATTTCATTTGTTCACCTTTGCTTTTAGTGAGTCATTCTCTGCACTGATCTGTCCGAGCCAATGCGTCTTGACGTTTTGCATATTGTTCTTCTCACGGAAAATTTTATGGTCATCAACAGACTTTGATTTTTACCATTGCTTGTATGCAGCTTTCTTTTCAGCTATTGCATTTTGTATACTGTCATTCCACCACCAAGTGTCACGTTCATGTTGGCGTTTTGTACCAGTTTTCCCATAAACAGTGGTTGGAGCGTTTATCAAAACGGTTTTCTATGTACTCCAACCTGTACTCGCTTGCGATCGGTGGTTTAACTGTGTGGCGAAAATCTGTTGAAATTTTTCTCGATGAATATAGCAATTTCTCCATACTTCACGGCAAAGTTGTAGTAACGTTTGGATACCTGCAGTACCAGATGCTTTGATAATGTCATTTGTGAGCCCAGAGGACCCTGCTGCTTTTCCATCCTTCATAGCTTTCAGAGCTTCTGTAAGCTCTTCTATAGTGATGTCTGAAATCGGACCTTCAATGGGTGGAGCGTTAAAGTTGACATTGATGGGAATTATTCGAAATCAATCAATCAATCTTCGTTTAGCGTCCAGAGACCCAGTTTCCCGAGATAGGGCGTTATTTTCTTTGCCATTAACTTTTTGCACCAAATTAGACGATCAGTTGTATCCATTTCATTTAAATTTAGAGCTTTCATGTCTTGCTCGATTGTTTGCGACCAGGACTTCTTTGAACGGCCTTTGGGACGTGTGCCAGGTACTTCAACATCTGCAAGAGAAGTTATGGCACTGTTTGTTGTCAACATCTGCAAGAGAAGTTATGGCACTGTTTCCACTTCGTTTGATAATATAGAGGCAAGGAGATGCCATTCGTTCCAGGCAGCACGTATGCGTGCTCGAACGGCAGTTTCAGCTGTTCCAGTACAATACAGAACATCCCCTAGATATTGAAACGATGTGACTTTCTCTACCTTAATAGCTTCAAAAACATTGCTATTTCGTAATTGTTTTTGTGGATTGATGCAAGCAAGACAAATAAAATTGAACACTTTAGATAAAGTACCAATTATTTTTGAACAACGTTTGTGACACCACTGGTTACACTGCTGACACTTGATTGAATTGTTACCTACACCAGCTTTACAAACTGAACAGGGCCATCGTCCAGTAGCTGTGGATTGGATGGGTTCACCAGTGTTCATTGCTTTGGTTTTGCTGATGTTGACTTTGAATCCAAGATCGGCGAGTCTGGTGTTCCAATCTTCAAACATCTGTGCTGCATTCTGCTCAGACGTGGCTGTTAAAACGATATCATCAGCATATATTAGATTCCAAATGTCACCAGTGCGTATCGGTTTTGTGATTTCTTCCATCACAGTTATAAATAACAGTGGACTGAGAATCGAGCCTTGGTGAACTCCAACGCCGATGTCAAATGCATCTGTGTTTCCAACCGTTGTGCTGACGAGAGTCTTAGTATTCGTATACACTTCTATCACAAGTCGAACAAGATATTCTGGAATGAGTTGTCGACGTAGACTCCACCTGATTGCTTCACGGGGAATCGATCAAATGCTTTTTCAAGGTGTACAAAAATGTGCGATAGTTGTTGATGCTTTGCCAGGTACTTCTCTTGCAGTTGCCGAAGTATGTGAATTGCATCAATTGTTGATTTCCCCGCTAGGAAACCAAATTGATAATTTCCGATTGTGATGCACGACGTTAATCTTCTCTCAATGATTTTCTCGACAATTTTCAGGGAGTTTTCTAACAGACGTATACCTCGATATTATGAACAGTTCAATGGATCACCTTTGCCTTTGTATAACGGAACTTTCATGCTATAGTTCCATTCAGTCGGCATTGAGCAATTTCTCCACATTTCACGGTAAAGTTGTAGTAACGTTTGGATACCTGCAGCACTAGATGCTTTGATAATGTAATTTGTGAGCCCAGAGGGCCCTGCTGCCTTTCCATCCTTCATAGCTTTCACCTTTCTGTAAGCTGCTCTACAGTGATGTTTGTAATCGGACCTTTGATAGGTCGAGCGTCAAAGTTGACATTGATGGGATTTGTTTCATTTAACAGACGGTTGAAGTATTCTCTCCACTGTAGCTTGATCAATGTTGTTGCTTGACAGCGAAGAAATCAATTTGCGTGGCTGATGGTCCACTTTTGTATGTTATGAGATGTTCTAACCTCTTTCTAAAATTTGTGTTCAATAAACAAAACCCGTGACTTTCAGCAAACTTAAAGATGCGGTTGCCGCCTTCATTCCGTTCTCCATAGCCAAAACCGCCATGTACGTTGTCAAAACCATCTGTTTTCTCTCCAACGTGGCCATTGAGATCGCCTCTAATCAGGATTGTTTCAGATTTTGGTATTGTTGAGATGATGTCAGAGAACGCAGCCCAGAAGTCATTTTTCATGTCTTCTGATTCGCCTGTCTGTGGTGCGTATGCAGAAAAAATAATCATTGTTTGCTTTTCTAGGCGAAGCTTGATCCACATGACACGTGAATTAATCCTTTTAATATCCAGTACTTCTTGGGCTAGCGGTTTTCTGACAAAAATTTCAACACCATTTTTGGCCGTCTTTTGACCATTCCAGAATAGTTTATATTTTTCTTTGTCTGAGTTGACATGACAGACACCATTGGATTTCCATCGGGTTTCCTGAAAGCAGCAGATGTCAATCCTTCTACGCTCGAGCATTCTTGCAATTTTCATGCTGCGGCCAGTCAGTGATCCAACATTGAACGTTCCAAGTCTAAGTACCATAGAGGGGCCATTCTGAATTTTTCTGCAACATCCCTCCGCTATTGCATACTTCCCAGGAATTCTTAGCACCCCTTGACCACTTAAGACCTGCTGGGGACTAGGGGCTGTTGTTTTTCTTTGTGATGGCATAGAATAATTTATGAAAAAATTTTTACATCCAAGACACCCATCCTAACGGCAACCACCAGTTATAAGCGGTGGGCCTATAATTATTAAATTATTCAAAATGTGCATACATTATCTTTGGTATTCCCTATAAACCGCATCCATCAACCAAATTCCTTGGAATCACCATCACAGAAAATCACTCATGGAATTCTCACCTCAGACAAACTACCTCAGACAAAATCAACAAACTCATTGGCATCTTCTACAAAATCAAATATAAACTCTCTCTTTCTGCTCTACACACGCTTTATTATACAATCATTTACCCTTATCTAACCTGCTGCATCACACAATGGGGAAATAGTCCAAAAAGCCATATGAATAATTTAATACTCTCCCAAAAAAGATCAATAGGTTTAATTTTTAATCTCAAACCCGATTCTCATACTAAACCCTTCTTCCTAGCAAAGAAAATTTTACCACTTAACTTCATCTACCTTTACAGCTCCGTTTAATTCGTTTTTAAATTTATCAACAATCTTCTCCCACCTCACTTTATCAACTTCTAACACATTAAGCAACTCCATCCAATCTACAACTACTTGACACTCTTTTATATCTACAAAACCCGCCTCAAATTAATCCAGAAAAGCATAAAAATAGCTGATCCTAAAATTTGGACAGAACTTGTACCTCCCCATTTAAGAGCCATTATAAACCTACAACATTTCAAATCAAAATTCCATGCTTTTTTATTGACACTGGGTCTTGAATCCACCACCTAATACTATATTATGTATACGTGAGAACAAATGAAGCGAATGAATGGTCTTTAAGAATGGTTAAACATTTATATGTTTATATATGTACTGAACGAACATTTATATGTTTATATATGCATAACACGAACATTTATTTATTTATCTTCAATTATCCTTTTGCTTCAGTTATTTTTCTTACTTCATTTCATTAACTATTCATATATCTACCTGCGGTGGCCACCACAAGACATACAGTCTTATTCTGTCTCCGCATATTCAACTTCATAACTTTTATTAACTTATTTGATATGTTGTTGATTATGAATAAACTTTGAAAATGAATGAATGAAAATACATACATATATATATAATTTGGTATGAGGTTCTCAGATAAACATGTTCGGTTGAAGATTACACCCCATTTTGCAGTTAGAAGTTTTTTAAATAAAATTTCAACAACACGAAGCTGTTTTGTTTCAACTTTATTAAACTGTGAAGTTTGGCTGACGGCCGTTTCGGCTAATGCCATCGTCGGAGCCTAGATTGTAAAACCAAATGAGGAGTTAATAATATAAATTATAAGAAATAGAAAATAGAATATTATATATTAAAATGAATAAATAAATGAATAACAACCTATATTTTAAAATTAACTCATTATATTGTTGAAAATAAACGAATAAATTTAAAAGAATGTAAA